GATGGTCTTTTTTTGTTGTACTCACACAGGCTGCTTGTTGCACACTCTCTAGGATATGTTTGGCTGGGATAAGGAAGTTCAGCAGGCACTGCAGTGCATCTCCATGGTAACGTTCCTCAATGGTGCGAAAGAGTTGGCTGAGAACAGTAGGAGCGGTAGCCTCAAACGGAGGGAAAAGAGACGACAGGGTGCTCTGAATGGACCAGTCCAGAGAGGAAGGGTTCTGAGGTGGAGAAAGAGAGAGGTTTATTTGTGAGGTTTAATAACTGAATTCTTTGTATAAAAAATATCCAGGGTTACATAACATGATATATGATACTGCAGTTATTGTGCATAATCCCTAAGTGCTTTGTTTACAGATGTAAAATGAGGTTGTTGTCAAACGCCTGTGGCGAAACCTTTTCAGAATTTCAACCCCTCCTAAATCTCACTTGTTACAGGGCCAAGCAAAGAGACAATGAAGCTTGTGTCATGTCAAGGTTTCACCATTTTGGCCTAAATAAATCCACATTTTCCATTCTGTTGTCCACCATATGAAGGCAGTGTGTCTCTTTCTTGCCAAAGGCATTTTAATTGGAAGAGACGGGCAATGCTATCATATATGCATGGAAGAAATTACCTTGCAGCTAAAGAGCCACATTTGTTTACCTTGTTATTGTGTGTTGAACAAATGCGTCTTTACCAAAGCCGTATTCAGTGTCTCCTATTCATTTTACCTTTAGTGACCATCTCCTTCTGCTTAGAATGTCTCTGGGACTTGAAAGTATGAGTTTGTCCTCACACCTCATTTGAGATGGTTTACCTCATGCAGAGGAGATTTGTATCATTAGCATACAAGTAAAACAAGGTAGAACAAAGAAAACACATGCTCTGTTTATGCAGGTGTTTATGTACCGAGCATGTGTGTGTAATATAGAAACATCCACATTCATGCACATCTGAAGGATTACAGCTGAGTGTCTGTCTCATATTTGCTCTCCCAAATATTTATCATACGTGTTTCTCAGCCAGTACTCTGTAATGAGGATGTTGGGTTCACTTTTAATGTGTCCGACTTGGAATAATGTACAAAGCAGATGTGGGAAGAGCAACGGGAATTCTGTCTGGAAAACTAGTGAAATCCGTTCTCTTCCAGTCTGGATGACCTTGGTTTAAACCCTAAACAGACAAAACCTGTTATAGAATGGATAACCATCTACTGCCAGTTAGACGTTGAAACTCTTAAACCGCATGTTTAAAACAATTTTTATGAAGCCTAGTGCAATGATTAACCATAGAAAGAAATGCATGCTTTAGCTGTGTTAAGATAGTTGTGTGTTTAGTCTATTAATCTCTTATTTCAACGGACTTAGTGGCTTCCTGGTTTAGATGATTACAGGACCAAAGCGTGATCTCGTACAGGAAGTTTATGTCTGCTTAGAAAGAACAAACATAAACAAAACCCTTCCTTTTTAGGGAAAAAATGTGTTACGTCTCAGCGATAAGAGTATTATATATCAGTGTACATTGACCAGGATTCGTATAGTTCTAATTTAAGTGTTTTTTAAATTTGTTTTCAGTTTAGTTTTGTCTAGTTTTCAGTTGTTTTTACTCTCATTGTTAGTTTTAGTTTTTTATTTTAAATTACGACTTTCAGTTTGTTTGTTTTAGTTTTCCATAGTTAATGCACAGACTTTTTTTTT